AGTGAGAAAGGGGGAGGGGACATCAGGTCAGTGTCAGCTCCTCCTCGCCACCGTGGATTCCCCGCTCCCCCACTAGGGACGAGGCCTCTTCCCTGCGCCCCAGCCCCACCTAGAAAGAGAAATTAGTGTCCCCCAGCCCCACCCATTCCTTTGCCCGCTGAGCCTGCCACTCGGTGCCCTAGAAGGAAAAGAAGCCAGCGGGTGGGCGGGGCTGTATCTGAGGGAGAGAACGGGGAAGGGGGATGAGAATGTGAGCTACTCCGAAGAAGGAAGGCGTCGCCTTGTCCCAAGAAAAAGAGAAAGATCCGGCTGGGTATCTGTTAAGAAACTTGAGGGCTGGTGGAAAATGACGCCAGGCAACCCCAGTCCCAAAGTCAGCAGGATGGTGACCTGTGACCTGCTTAGCTCTGCTCTCCACAAGATCACACTGCCCACTGCCTATGTAGAGTAGTAAGTTAGGATAAAAGCCACCCTCCCCTGGGTGGCTCACAGCATCTTCTGTGTCCTGCTTCCCTCCCAGGGGCAGTTCCTCCCACAGTCTAACCTTCAAGCTTCCTATAGGACTCCAGGCACCTAAGGGCCGTCTCCCCGGTGTCTTTAGAACAGAACGGGGCTGTGGCCTGAGCGCTGGGATTGCCACAGCCATCTGTGACCCTCCAGTCTGGGTCCCCGAGGAAACCAGTCACAGTTCTACCTCAACACCGGGAAACGCCATACCTGTGTTTGCCCTGATAGAAGCGGGGTAGCTGACTGCACGGCCTCGTTCTGCAGTGACAGTCACCACATACTCCACACCCGGCATCAGGTCGGTGAGCTGAGTCCTGTCTGCCTCAGGGGGGACTTCCAGTCGCACCCTTTGGTTGCCAGCACTGACATAGGACACCACAAATCGGTCCACCTCAGCCTGGGGGCGCAGCCAGCTGAGATCCAGTGTGGTCGGAGTCACAGCCACCACTCGGAGGTCCTGAGGACCGTCAATCACTGGCAGGGTTAAACGGTTGGCTCAGTAGTGAATTCACTTTTCTCTGCTCTGGCGAAGCCCCCACCCCAAGCAGATTCCCGGCTGCCTGTCAAATCCAGATGTCTCGCCCCACCCCCAGCCCAGCCCCAGCTCTCACTGGTTGTGATGGTCTTAGAGGCAGGAGGACCCCAGCTGGTCCCTCGTAGAGCACGGACAGTGACCTGGTAGTCCTGACCAGGAGCCAGTCCTCTCTGGTCATAGGCTGAGGCAGAGCTGGGCACCCGAGCTGTGAATGGTGGGCTCGCCCCCTCAGTCTGCAAGAGAGTACCAGATGCATCAGAGTGGGGCTCTCGTCCTTGCTCCCCAGGCTCTTCTTTTTAACAGTTCCTAATGGTGTCAACACAGGACTGTGGGGGACTTGGCCCTATACAAGCTGGGGCACATGGGCAGAAACCGAAAGACGCCTAGAGCCTAACTCTGGCCTATGACTATTCTCCGTGGTTTGTGTCTGTCAGTGAACTTAACAGTCTGTGGAAAGGGGTCCATCAATCAATCCTACTTGGCAGATGAGGAAACCCAGCTCAGAAAGACCATGTCCTGACAGGGTGCACACCAGGAGAGCTGGTGGCTCACTGTCCTGTAGAGAGACCTAAATCCAGGTCCCAGCACCCAGGTGGGGCAGCTCACAACCATCTGTAACTCTAGCTCCAAGGGATCCAACCTCTGACCTCCTCAGGCCCTCCCATTCACATGCACACACCCACACAAACACACACAGACACACGATTATACATAAAATCGTTTTCTTAAGAAAGCTTAGAGGCTGGGCGTTGGTGGCACATGCCTTTAATCCCAGCATTCGGGAGGCAGAGGCAGGGGGATCTCTGTGAATTTAAGGCCAACCTGGTCTACAGAGTGAGTTCCAGGACAGCCAGGGCTACACAGAGAAACCCTGTCTCAAAGAGTAAACAAGAAAGCAAGCTGGGGCCGGGGAGAAAGAGTGCTGCAGTTAAAAAGCACTGGCTGCTTTTGCAGAGGACCAGAGTTGAGTTCCCAGCACCCACATGAGGTGGCTCACAACTGCCCATAACTCTCCATCCAGAGGTCTGATGCCCTCTTCTGGCCTTCTTGCACACCTACACACACCTGTTCATATACATATGTACACACAAACAAAATAAATCTTTTTTGTTTTGTTTTGTTGAGACAAAGTTTCTGTGTGTAGCCCTGGCTGTGCTAGAACTCACTCTGTAGACCAGGCTGACCTGGAACTCAGCGATCTGCCTCCTGAGTGTTGGGATTAAAGGCATGCACCATTACCCAGTAATAAACCTTTAAAAATAAAAGAAAGCAGTGTCCCCAGGGTCCCCTCTGCCTGACCTGGGATTCTCTCTAGTTCCCCTGGTGACCCCAGCTACCTACACAAGTTCTTCCAGAACAGACAAGGCAGATCAGGGATGTCCTGTGCCTGCCCCTCCTCTTTCCCAAATCTGCTTAGCTGGCCCTGGGGGTAGTGCTGACTGTGTGTGACATTTTTCTTGTCCCCTCAGCAGCCTTATACACCCTTTAAAGAAAGGCCTGCTCAATATGCTAATAGCACATTTCCCCAGTGCTGTTTACACCTGCCATCCTGCTGTGTGTTGGAAACTCAAAAAATTAGATACCACCCCAGTCCTGGGGTTGGGTGTAACCTAGTAACCAAATGGAGACCTCTCCCTCCCCAGTCTCTATGTGTGATAAATAGCCATGAGGGAAAAGAGAAAAAAAAAAAACCCTCCTTTTAGGTGTCTGTTTCAGGTTGTGAGGTTATGTAGGGTGGCCCTCAGGTTCCTGAGTGACAGCTGCTGGGGCGGTGGAGAGCTGCACATCTGTGAGTGTTCTAACAGCCCTAAGCTGTGTGGGGCTGGACAGGCTCTGAGGACACCCTGTACTGCTTAGCTATGTTGGCCATGGTAGGGACACCTCCATTCAGCCAAATGGGATTGGAAAATGTGAAAGGTACTGTCCTAAACCGAAAAAAAAAACAAAAAACCAAAAAACCATAGTAAATACCAAAGTAAAAAAACAGATGAGAAGCCACGTGGTGATTTTTGGGTGAGGATGAACTAAAGTTGTGTCACTATTTTGTGGGTGGAAAGGTTCCCCTGGGTACAGAGAATCCTGCCCTCCTCCTTCAGTTCTAGCTCGAGGGGCCCTCGGGGGGCTTTCACTCAGCACATGTGAGCCCCTCCAGCCTCCCAGGACCCGCCCGCCCGCCCAGAGTGAGCCCTCGTTCTGTCTCTCCTTCTATTATACGCCCCAACGGCTACATTTTTCATCAAAGCAAACCCATGCTGAATTCTTCTTTCTTTGGATCAGCATGTCTCTTGGTTCCTCCCTGGAAGTCCCCATGCCAGCCTCACCCATGCTGCCCAGCCCCATCTCTCGGGTCTGAGGCGGGCTCTCTGGCCTGATGTCGGCAGCTGGCACTGCTCCCTGGTAAGGCTTGGCTCCCCTGGGGAGAATTGCTCTTGGTGACTGTTGATTCTGATACCTCAGGGCTCCACAGAGAAAGTTTGGCTTGGGTGGGACCTAGCTCCCATCCCTTTCACTCTGGGACACCCAAGGAAAAAGGTTTCTGAGGTCCAGGTCTGTCCAGTGAGCACTCGACCCAGCCCTTTCCAGGCTGCAGCGAACACTCCAACAAAGAATGGCCTAGCGGTCTCCGATTAGTGTAGAAGAGGGGATGGACCTGGGGCTTGAGGCAATGAGCATGACCTAGAACCTTTGTCCCAGTGGGCTCCTGGTACCGCCACACTTCACACCTCTCACTTAGACCCTGTGATGGCGGTAGCAGCTCACGGGACAGCAGTTTCGGCAAGCTCCCCCAGACATGGACACTGGGGCCTGGAACAATGAACACACTTTGAGAGCCACTGAGTCACTGTGACAGTCCACACACACAGGAGGGGACCGGGTACGGGGTCCTTCGTTCTGAAAGTGGAGTGTGCCCTTGGCTGGGAATAGCCCTCAAGTTCTAAGAGAGAAGAGTTTATGGGTGGGGGTGGGGGGAGCCACCAGGAACAAGGGAGAGAGACAGGTGGGTGTGACATCAGCCTGCCAATAAGGCTCCACGTCAGCTGATGGACAGAACATGGCCAAGGCAAAAGGCTCAGGCCCAAGAGTCACCACAAAAAGCAGGTCTGAGAGCTGCGTGTGGACCGTGTGTCTGATACCATCCTTGTCCCGGGGTTGGGTGTAACCTAGTAACCAAATGGAGACCTCTCCCTCCCCAGTCTCTATGTGTGATAAATAGCCATGAGGAAAAAAAAAGAAAATGAAAACCCTCCTTTGGGTGTGTGTTTCAGGTGGGGTTATGTAGGGTGGCCTTTCCTAGAGCGACATTCTGGGGCAGTGGGAGGGCTGGACATCTGTGAGCACAGCCGCACACAGGACCTAGAAGGGTCCCATGCCCAGAGCAGAGGTGAAGGGCTGAGAGCTAGGCCTATTGCAGACCAGCTTAAACCACCCTGCTCAGAGAAAAGGCAAAGCAAAAGCCACACCCCTCGACAACACCCGGAGATGGGGCTGTGTGTGTTTGGAGACAACACTGCCTGAAGGCCTCTCTTATCTCATCTCAACTGTTTGTTTTATTTATTTTATTTCTCCTTCCCCTGAAGGCTCATAGGAAAATTCCTTCTAAAAGTCTCGCCCTGCAGATCAGAGCTATGTAAATACTGTACACACAACAAGAGAGGGAGAGACACTTCATGAAGTGTTAGAGCTCCTGCTTTGCTGTCAGGCAGCCAACTATCGTTTCTCTTCTCTAGTTGCCAAATTCCTGTCTCCTGATTAAATTATTTTTATATAAAAATTTCAGAGAGGAGAAGGGGGGCTATCTTGGTTGTACTGCAATGCACAAGTGCTTGGGAGGCAGCTGGAGGGCACCTTCCTGTGGGACCTGCCCTGGGGGGAGGGTGACAGCCTTGGCACTTGCCTCTCTGTCCCAGGGCCTTCTGAGGCTTTAGGGCCAGGGCAGCATGCTTGTGTAGTTTTCCCTGGACTGGTGGACACAAGTGTGGCCTTGCCCACCATTGGAGGGATGACGTGGGAAAGGTCAGGTGACTGACAAGTGATGTATCTGTGTACCCCGAGCCCAATCTGTGTAGAGAGCGGTCTCCACGGAGGGGCCAAAGGCTTTGTCCTTACTGTGCTCCCAAATGTTTTAAGAGCAAGTTAGAGGAGAAAGAATGCTGGGAGAAGTACTGACGACAGGAGCTGGGAAAACAAGCTCATCCCTTCCTCTCCCGGCTCATACTCTCCTTCCCTTTTGCTCGCTTACCTATAATTTCCTTCTCCTTTCTTCCTCCCTCCCTCCCTCTCTCCCTCCCTCCCTCCTTCCCTCCCTCCTTCTCTCTCTGTCTCTCTTTCTTTCTTTCTCTTTCTAGACAGGGTTTCTGTGTGTAACCTTGCCTGTCTTGGAATTTAGCTCTGGAGACCAGACTGACTTCAAACTCACAGAGATCCACCTGCCTCTGCCTCCCAGGTGCTGGAATTAAAGGCTTGCGCCGCCACCACTACCGTCTGGAGTGTTTATCTATACTTTCCAAAGGTTTTGCTCTGGGCCTCTGTGAGGTTTGCAATAACAAGACACCTAACCAAACACAATCAAAACCACTGACAGTCTGTGTGGCTGCACGTTAATATATAGCAACTCCGGGAAACTATCAGTGGGCCCAGGCTGGCAGTGGGTCTCCCCATTTGGGAAGCATCTGAAGACGCAGCATTGGGGGAGGAAGGAAGAGGCCGAGAGTTTGCCTGAGAATGAGGTGACGGCTGAGCACTCTGAGTACAGGACACAGGAGACCACCATGTACCCCAGATGCTGGTCCACAGCCAATGCAAATGTGTGTGTGTGTGTGTGTGTGTGTGTGTGGAATGTGGCGAATGGCCACCGCACTGAGCCGCCAGGAGTAGTGACCTCACCATTACCATCAATAACCTAGTTGCCCTGGACCAAAGTTGAGGCCTCCGTGCCAGGCATTTAGAGCAGCCATCTGGAGTCCCACGAGCGTAACTTCCTGTGTGGTGTGAACCCTCTTCCTCCCCTTTCCGCTGCCCAGCCCCTCCCCCTTGCTTCCCCTCACCATGGGGATGAACTGGATTTCGTAGGCATCCACAGGACCAGGGGCCCGGGTCCACTCTGTGCGAACCGTCGTCTCCTCCAGGAGATGCATCCTCATGTTTTGGATGGCTGGTACCTCTGCCCAGAACGGATTAGGGAAGGCTGATTAGCCCGGGTCATTCAGGGCCTCACAGAGGGGCACATCTTTGTTCCCACTGCCCAAACTCAGGTTGGGGAACACTGGAAAAGGCCCCAAAAGGGCCGGGGCATCCCTCAACTTCCCCCATGTCCTGAACATAGAAACGCCTTAAAGGCAACCCTCTGCCCAGAGATGTAAATGTCAGACTTGCCACTGGCGCACGCGTGCTTATGGTCCCACTATCCCCAGTGCGTGGGAAAGGGCGTCTGGCTCACCTTCGCCGCAGTCGTCCCCAGCATAGCCATCTTGGCAGATGCATCTGCCCTGGAGACACTCTCCCCTGCCGCGACAGTCACCTGGGCATGTCTGGATGGCACAGTCTGGGCCTCGGAAGCCCTCGACGCACACACATTGGCCCTCGCGGCACAGTTCCCGGGGCCCACAGCCCCCAGGGCAGGCGCTGGCAGGGGGCTCCTCTTGCCCGCAGTCCTCACCGCTGTAGCCGGCGTAGCACAGGCAGACTCCCTGCACACAGCGCCCACGGCCGCGACAATCGCCTGGGCACATGCGAGTGGCACAGGCGGGACCGGTGTAGCCTGGGTCGCACAGGCAGCGCCCGTCCTCACAGCGGCCGCGCCGGTTGCAGTCGGCCGGGCAGGTGCGGACACCGCAGTCTTCGCCCGCGTAGCCC